TTTTTTTTTTTTTTTTTTTGTTGTCCTACGGAGCGGAGATGTGTGCACCAAACAGTTTGGCACAGGAAGACACTGTTGTGAAGACATATAGTGGGTAATGAAATGCCACACCTTCAACAAACAATATTTCAAGGATGCCTACTCTTAACTGCGCCTTTTTAATCGCCCTGTTTTTCTATTTTTTCTGCACATGCTGCAAATCACAGCCCCACTTTCACCCTCCTTCTCCACGTACATCCTTTTCAGCCATCTGCCCCTGAAGTGACTCCCCGTTGCCACAGTTAAGAAGCTGAGTATATTTACCCCTCTGCATATATATTTTTTTTTAATTTGGCAATTTGTTCGATTGGTTAGTCGCTAAACAGAAGTTGTCACCTCGCCATGAGCACCTTCAACCGTACACACATTTGGTAGAGTCTCAAATTTGGAGCCGTCCCGAGAGAGTGCCATCTACCCTCTTCTTTAGAAAGAAGCCCAGGAATGCTGAAAGATAGACAGCCTTCAAGAAACAGACAAACTGACATTGGGGGGGGAGGATTATCAAAGGTGATGCCACTTCCGCCATGAATAACCCTGTAGAAGGTGTTTTCTCTCATTTGAGGCGCACAGGAAATACGAATGGAATAAAACATGATGCACAAATAGAGTCTATGGACGGAAGCACCAACATCAGTCTCGACGATGATGATGATGGGTATGCTAGTGATGACCTCCGTGGGAGACTTCGCATGATGGGGGATATCCCCCCGGGAAGACATAAAGGAAGGAAAAAAAGAATGTTCAGAATAAAGAAAAAGAAAGCACTGACACCATTGCATAATGATGATTTTGCCCAAGGGGGGGAAGCGAAAGTTTCGGACGTGGTGCTGGACTCATTTGCAATAACAAGAAAGCAAAGGCGCTCGCCACTTCTGGGAAAGGGGGTCGTGGAGAGCTCCAACATCCAACTGACTAGCACAATGAGCAACAAACTGCCTCCCGCCCTTTCCATGTTTGCCACGAAAGCTGTTGACGGACTGCTCGGTGGCGTCCACAAACACATGCAAGGGCCGTTTGCTCTAGACATCGATGGTACCAATAACTCTCCGCTCGCCAGTCCGATTCTTACTCCAAATCTGTACTCAAACATCAGCACCCCATTCAATATGAGCAATGGCATGCCTACGGCCCCTGCCCCGATGCCTCCTCCTAATCAGGGGGCACAAGTGCCCCTTCCCACTGCGCCACCCCAACCCCCCACTGTCGCGCCAGCGGGTTCCGCAGCGGCCTCTCCAGCGGCCGCTCCAGTGGCTTCCGCAACGGCTTCTCCAACTATACCCGCACCTGTCGCCACCGCAGGAGTGCCCCCCCCACCGAGGATGCAACTCCCCCCGAACGCAATGGCGTACCCACAAATGAGTATGCAAAATGTTATGTCTGCAAATCAGATGGCCCAAAACCCAGCCTTCAACATACACCCCACTGCTACGAATTTAAGGGATGACCCAGGGAATGTGAACTATAATGAGGTCGTCACGATAACGATCGGCATCGTCATTTGTCTCTTTCTCTTCTGTTTCGTCTTTGGCTGCGCGGTGAAGATGTGCAAGCCGGGAAAGAGACGGCGCTGACGAGGCGCGCGCAGCAGAAAGGCAGCATCAAGACAGCAGCATGGCAGAAGCATCTTAACAACATCCCAGCATCATCCCAGCAGCTTTTAAATCAACGGAGCGGGTACCGTGTGGAGGACCCTTTTCTCCCCTCCGACTTGGCCGCAACCCCCCCCGTTGGGGAGCATTCCGCCCGGATTAATTCACTTTCTTCTTTGTCCTTCCGTGAGGGTTTTTATGTTCATCTTGCGGGGTGCTCCCCCAACGGATAGGTGCCACCCTGATGTGATGTTGCCCCTTCGTCCGTTAAGTGTGGAACGCTTTCCTAAACTTTCTTAACTTTCTGAATTTCCTTTTTGATTTTTGTCTTTTCATCTTTATTTTGTCTTTCTTCTTTTTTGTCTCTTCTTTTTTCTCTCTTCTTTTTTGTCTCTTCTTTTTTCTCTCTTCTTTTTTGTCTCTTCTTTTTTGTCTCTTCTTTTTTCTTTCTTCTTCTTTTCTTTTTCATCTTCTTTTTCCCCCCTTCCGCTGCGTACCTGTTATCACTGCACGATTATGGAGTAGTACGTCTTCTTTCCCAGCCCCAGAATGGCATAGTAATTTCCGTCCATGGCTCTTACAAATGATGAGGGCAAACGTAAGTGGTACTTAGCATTATCTATGAGCTGTTTATTGAGAAAGATGCACCTCTGGGCTAACTTCTCTTTGGCTTCTTTATTAGTTGAAGCCACTTCGAACTTTCGCAGAATGTGGACAATGCTAACTTCTTCCCTGTGTAAGTCATCCCTGTTGATGAGGATAAAGGGGAAGACCTTTAGCTGGTCTACCCGGTCAATCAGAGAAAACTGGTCCTCCTTTAGCAGTCTCATTAGTGTATGAATCGTCTGCACTGTTTCTGCTCCGTAAATAAATGTGGTGACTGAGTCAGCGAGTTTTTCCTTCGCTAGGTTGATCTGGGCAGCAAGAGGGTCTTCCTGCTCCTCTTCCCCCTGTGAAGTAATCTCACTTGTATGATCCCCACGTGGGAGTTCCAAATCGGTCAGCATACAGATGTACGAATCAACCTGCTGGTCATCGATATTTCGTAAAAAGTTCCAAAAAAGAAAAGGGGGGGTATACTCTCTATCAATCCAGATGGGCATTGTCCTATTCTGCTCAAAAAGCGATTTGCTATACTTCGTATTATTCCTATGAAGCAGCAAATTGGTTGTCATTCCATACAACTGCGTGTTACACATGTGTTGGCAGAGTTCGATGCCCGATTGGATGTTTCCCCATTGGTCCGACCCTCCTATCTGTATATAGCACCGGTACTTTTTATACAAATGGACAAAATCGTATGACTGCAAAATGAGGTAGTTAAGATCTTTCAGCGTTAAATTGTTCCCTCCCAATTTGGCCTTAAAACATTCTTTTTTTAAGATTCTATTGAGAGGGAAATGCTGTCCGTGGGTTAGGAAGTCAGTCAAGTCCATCTGCTTGTACCACTCTCTGTTGTTTACTATAGTGAGCGACCCTTTTTCGGGCTCGTGGATGGAAAATTCCTCCCCTGGGGAAGTGCCCATGTTAAGCGCCCCCACCGCGGAAGTCTCCAAATTAGACGCCCTCCCCCGCAGAAGAAACCTAATGATGCTCTTTTTTATACTCTCTTCATTCTCGCATATGTCATCGTGGAAAGGCCTCCTCCGTTCTGCCTGCTGAAAGGAGGGATCCCCAATCTTCGTTGTGCTGCCGCCAAGAAGAACCACCACGTCCGTCTGATAGTTGCGCAAAATGTCGAGGGTCATTAACTGCACAAGGTTCCCCAAGTGGAGATACTTACAGTTGACGTCGATTCCTAGGTAGACTGCTTTCCTCTTCTCTCTCTTCGGTTCTGTCTCATTGTGATACAATATGGTATCCACACCTTTTACGTCACTGACGTAGTGGATTAATCTTCGTTGGAACAGCTTCTTCAGCGCTTTGGACTTTATTTCGTGCTTCTCCGTTTGGATGTCCCCCAGGAGGGGGGGCTTGCTTGAGCTGAGGCTCTGGTGGGGTTGGAACTTATAACATTGGGTTTGCACTGCATGGGCGAGGAGAAGAAGGAAGTAGAAGGACGTCCGCACCATCGTCCGCCTCGCCCATTTTACGCGGCGCAGCGGAGGTGTCCAGAGGGGGAAGTTCCTAACAGGCTGAGGGTTGGCCGCTGCTATGAGGTTTCACTTTGTGGTGTCAATTCGGGGTGAGCCCAACTTACCGCTTTACCCCCTTCGCATGGCTGCAAGCCATGGGGTGAACAACTCCCTGGAGAGTCAACCCTTTTAGGACGCCCAAAATGGATGAAAAAAACAAGTGTACGAGAGGGGGAATCAAATTCTGATACACGAAGGGCGCTCAAATCCGTTGTCCCCTTGTTATTCTTTCCCCCCACCCGACCCCGGGTCAACCCGCGCAACTTCAGCAGCGCCCGGTTTGTCAATCGAGATAGCGCACATTGGCCTTTCGACGCAAGGGCGTGTGAGATTGTGTGAAATTTTTCTTTTTCTTTTTTTTTTTTTTTTTTTTTTTTTTTTTTTTTTTTTTTTTTTTTTTTTTTTTTTTTTTTTTTTTTTTTTTTTTTTTTTTTTTTTCTTTATTTTTTCAAATGCCCATCCTTTTTGCGCACCTGCAGTATATGCCCCCCAAATGAGAGGAACCTACCTGCGCCTCAGTGGGCTAGAAATAGAGAAACAACTAAACAGATCATTCGCCCCCCTGCTTTCCACCCTTGCACACTCAACGGGATGGACTTCAAAAATGGGAACCCCTAACCCCACCAAATAATGTTCTCCCTAAGTAGGAACCTCCGACTGTCGTTCGAAATCCCCTTCAGCCAAATTCAGAAAGTCACGGCCCGGTCGTCGGGCCCGGGGGGGCAGAGCGTCAACAAGGTTAGTCAGGAGGAGTCCAACGAGACGCATCGTTAATGGATACTCACAAGAAAAAAACACCCCCCTTACACTTCCCTCTCGTCACCACGTTCGTCTACTTTCTTCTCATTCTGCCCCCGAACGGCAGGCAGAAAGCAAAGTGCAGCTTCGCTTCAACGTGGACGCGGCCATGTGGATTCCCTCCGCGGTTAAGGAGAACATAAAGTAAAGAAAAGAGTGAGGCGTTTAAAATTGACCTAACGGGAAGAAGTGACGCCTACGTAGTGCTGTCCCCCCAACACATGCCACTTATCCCTCATTCGATTTACTCTAGAAAGGTGCACAAGAACCGGCTGAACAAGAACAACGAACTCATCGTCGAGTGTGAAGGTAGGTGCTGCGGGAAGCAGTAAAGCGGTGAAGCGGAAAAGCAGTAACGGGGCAACGACATCCGCGGAGGCCTTTTTCATCTCATTCTGCTTGTGACCCATTTTCTTCGTTTTTTTTCTTTGCCTCCCCTGCAATGGTCCCCCTTTCACACGCAGATACCCCCTCGCAGACATCCAACTACAAAATCTGCGCCGACAAATTAAGGGCCCTCCTGGAGGAAGCCGAGGTAGGCGTTCTGCCCCCTTCCCATTAGTGAATACTCCCTGTGGGTCTCCGATCCATCCATGTATATTTGCCCCGCTTCACACGTGTTTCTCTCAGAATTATAAGGAGAAAACCAAATACACATCGGTGAAGGATTTTATCCACTTGATAAAGACAGATGAGCAGGTAGGGTGGTCCTCCTTTCCCCCCTTTGGGTTGTTAGCCCGTTGAGTGTGGCGCTTTTCCGCTTCCTTTCTGTGGAGCTATTTCTTTCGGGGGAGACTTCCATTTCGCGTTTTTTTTTTTTTTTTTTCTACACCAAGTAGAGAGAGTGCCAATCTACGCACGCCGCACTCCAATGTGTGCACTAAACCTACGTTTGCGTTTGACATGGGAACCCTTCACCGATGTAAAACTCCACTGCACAGATCAAACGGTATAAGGATGCCCTAATCGACCGCAAGAAAAAACGAAGGGAGAGAAAGTTTAACAAGAGGGATTACGATTGAGCGGCTTCAGTCAATTTCATAACGTGTGAACCATTTTGTACCGTCTCATGGGGGTGCTTGCAATGGATGAGGAGATGTTACAAATGGTCACTCCAGTGTGGGTCAAATAGTTAGATCGCCGCGCAGATCAGCCAAAGGGACAACGTAAATTGGTCACCCCTCAGGAGTAATCCCACCGGAGCGGCAACAGATATGAACCTACCCGTCTGCTGCGCTACATTCACTTATATCTGCGTACCTTTGGAAAAAAAAAAAAAAAAAAAAATTTCTTTACTTTTTCTTTTTTTCTTTCTCTAACCCTGTGGAGATTTCCCGCTACCTCCCCCCAACTCCGAAAACTTACAAATCCGAACGAACCGCGTAAATAATTTTTTTTAAATTATTTAAAACGGGAATTTAAAATTTGGGCATTTTTTAAAATATACACAAGTGCGCACATTTACATGAGCATTGAAAAAAGGGGGGCAAGAAAAACCGCATAAGAGGACAGTGGAGGGTGAGCACATACATGGGGTAGTTATTTGCGTAAACATGTGGAGTGGTTATCTGTGCTGGTATATGGTGTAGTTATCCGCGTAAATATATGCGAAGAGATATACATGTGTGTATGTGTGCTTGCGCGCGTCTAACATTACGCGGGCATATGGACACACACTTTCGCAAACGCGCTATTTTACAGAGGCGCATAAAAAGGGGATTGTTCAGATAGACACAGATATGGAGGCACAGATGTTGTGGCACAGATATAGCGGCATATATATAACAGCACAGACATGATCGCACACGGGGCAGAGGTATGTTACACATACGCACAGGGGCACGTCTCACTGGGAATGACTAAAGTTGTCCTCACAGCCTCTGTTAAAAAATTAGTAGTTCACGTGCTTCTGCCTTTTCGTGGCCATAAGGGAAGCTCCAATAAGCAGAGATGTGTGTTTATATGCATGTGCGGGGTGGAAGTGTTGGGGGTGTATCTTGTGGATGCCTATCTTGCGTGTGTGTATCTTGCGTGTGTGTATCTTGCGTGTATGTATCTCCCGTGTGTGCCTCTTGCATGTGTATCCTGTGTGTGGGGGGGGAAACTCCTACCTTTGCGCTGCTTTCCCTCCCGAGTGAAAAAGTGGTGGAGATAGCTAACTGGGGCTGCATCCTCTGCATGGTGCTTTACGTACACTTATTTTACCATGTATTGGCACTTCCTCACTACTGGTCTCTTATTTTCTTCAAAACGTTCTTCACACTTCCTAAGGCACAACCGTGTCGCGCATCAATTCTCGATGTCTTCCTCGTCTATCGCCACCGCCGCTGCCTGCTCTAATTCTTTTTCAGCCTCACGGACGATGTTCAGATCAATCTGGAACTCCGGAGCCTTGGCGTGCTCGCCTACGAATACGAGATTGGGCTGGTTCGACAACCTTCTAGCTAGCCACAAAAAGGGTTTCTCAAAATTGTAATTCGATCTGGCAGACAAGTCATAATATTGCAAATTCCTTTTCCTGTGAAATTGTATTTGCCTGGACTTTACCTGTCTGTCTTTCACGTCCACCTTGTTTCCAACTAAGACCATCGGGATGGTCTCACAAACACGGGTAATATCTCGGTACCAGTTCGGCACATTCTTATAGGTGATACGGGACGACACGTCAAACATGATGATCGCACAGTCACTCTTTATGTAGTATCCATCTCTGAGTCCTCCGAACTTTTCCTGGCCTGCTGTATCCCACACGTTAAATTGGGTCTTCCCAAAGTTGGTTTGAAATTTCAATGGGTGCACTTCGACACCGAGGGTTGCTAAGAAGAGGCAGCACAGAATGAGCAGTAAAAGAGCAGTAAATGAGCAGTGGGTTTACGATGAGTCAGCAGTGCTTCTTGCGGTGGGTAGAGTAAGAGCGTGTCAACCCCAAACGGAAGGAGCACTGACAAACACCCCTCCAAGGGACGCTCCTCCACTTCACTTACGAATATATTTCTTCTCAAATTCTCCCGTAAGATGCCTCTTCACAAATGTAGTTTTTCCTACACCACCATCCCCAACTAAGATGAGTTTATACTGTGGTATGAATTCTTGCGAGTCCATTTTGTGTTTATGTCTGTCGAGGGGAGGAGTAACAGGTAAAGGTGTATGCGGAGAAGGGAGTATTCAGGTAAAGCAGTAGGCAGGGGAGGGCACGGCAACTCCCACCCCTCCCCCTGTTTGTGGTAACGGGCACTGTTCCCCTATGTGTGGACCACGGTCAAGCAG